CATCTACAACTTTTTGCTCAGACTGCAGCATTATATACACTTGTCATTAATTTCTTCTTTCATTACATTATTAATATAGTGTTAAAAAAGGACCTCACAGCTCAAAACAACCTCAAATAATTAGCTGTTGCCCATCTTTTAACATTTACTCTGGAAATTATGGTGATTAGTTGTGTGCCTTGATCTTCATATGTAAATCTTTGTGTAAACAAACCTATATTAGTGTGGGTGCGATCATGTACACGTACCTGACAAAAACACTGTGCCGTAGACGCACACTAAATTACCCCCTAATTGGATCCCTTTGAATATTCAAGAGACGTCCCCTCCGACACATGTACAAAATAAAAACTAACAAATATGTGGGGGCAAGAAAAGCACATTGGGGTTAAAGGCGTTGAGGGAGATAGCCTTCTTTCTCTCGTTCCTGTCCCCGGCATCTGTTCATCCATATGGAACGGGGGGCAGAATCCGCCGTCTCTGGGAAGGCTGACATTATGTCAAGCAACTCGCTGAGAGAAAAGCATCTTTTGAAGGAAAGTTAGAGGAGAAAGCATTTACAAATTTGATGAGGTTCTCATACATTTGAGAACACTTTACCTAGATAAGGCTAGTCAAAGCACTAACTACATTTTTAAAAGAATTGCAGTAACCAATAACCAATTAGGAATTTATTGTTATTTAATTTATTATATATTTAATTTTAATGATATATTAATATTGTAATAATTAAAATGAGAAAAAAAAGCTTTGCCCCATTTCTTTTTTTTTCTTTCTATTTCTTTTTGCTTTTCTCTGGTGGCCATGGTGATGCTTGAGTTTCTTTGTTTGCAACTGGCAAGAAAGCTTTTTCTAGAAACTTCATATTGTCTTTATTTTTAGTGGACAGCAAATAAAAGGTCTGATAAATGAATTATTGATTGCAGTGGTCAGTTAAAAGAAAAAAGCACTTCCCTTCTTTTTGTTAGTTTATTTGTTTATCTGTTTATTCACTTTGTACTCTCGGCTGGTGCTGTTTTGTAGGGTTGAGTGGATGGATGTGTTTTGTTCCGTGGGTCAGGGGTGTGTTTTTTTTTGTGTTACAGTACTTGCATCTTGTAAAAATGTTTACATTTGCAAAAAATGATTCAGTATTGTCTTCTGCCTAGGACCGAAAAGACATTTTTATCAAACAAGCATAACAAACAGATCCCATTGTGCTTGGCCTAACACACACACACACACACTCACGGTATCATTACTCGTGCACATTACAGTGAGAGGAGACAGAACGGGGGCACTTTGTAAATGTCATGGGCCGAGGGCTCTTCCACCTTCTTTGCTGGATGGAATAAAATGAATTGAAGTGAACACTATCAGCAGCCGCAGCAGCAAGATAAATCTGTCGTTTAAAAGGGACTTGCAATTAGGTGTGCAGGGGCCAGCAGGAGGGCAGGGCTTTCAAGAGCCTGCTGCCATTAACCCCCTTTCTACTGCCGCATTGACCTGGGAAGTGTAGTTTTTAGTTCCCCAAGCCTGAATTTGAATCATCCGCTCACCAAAAAAGAACTACAAAGAGGATGATGCTAATATTTGACCTGTTCGTAAAACGGCGTTGAAAGCCCGATTTACTTCTGTAAAGTGACATTTCTGAGTAAAACAGAATGTAGGGTGGGAATTTGATTCAAGTGACTTGAATCTTTTGAATCAATTCAAGATTTGTTTCCTGATTCCTTCTGCAAGTTACACTGTTTTGCCAGTAGGTGGTCACAAGTGACAAATGTCTGTGTATTACAAACGAGTCACTGAATCATCTATTTAACAGATTTGTTATAAATAAATAAATAAATATATATATATATATATTAAGGGTGTAACGATACACGTATTCGTATTGAGCCGTTCGGTACGAGTCTTTCGGTTCGGTACGCATTACAAACCGAACGATTCGTTGGAGTAATCCTATTACATTTGGGGGAAAAAGAGCTTAAAGTGTGTGAAATATAATGTACTCCAGGTTGTGACGGTGAGGTAGTTCGTTAGAGTTTTCCCTCTTTTCCTCGCTTTTATTAGCTTTTAAATAGCTTGTAAACGCTTGTGCGCATTTTACTTTCACTTTCAAACTAGCGGCATTTCGGCGTCAATTGATTGAATTGACAACAACAAAACAGTACGACAAACTCACTTACATTAAACATAGAATGTTTAATTTATTAACAAAACGAATACAAATACACCATGCTATAGGCCTAATATAAAATAACAAATAACTTACACAGTTTAAATATAAAACACTGAAAATCAGCAAACACGGTGGAACCAAATAAATAAGAAACGAATGTTAAAAAGCTTCCAAAATCATCTTAGATAAACGGCAAAAGTCAAAAGGCCTTCCAAAGTCTAAAATATTTTTAAGATCATATGATACTAGTTTTAATAATTTGTTTGTTTTTTTTTTTAAGTAAAAATCAAGGAAATTTGTCTGGCATTTCTTTGTTTTTGCTGTATCGAAAACATACCGAACCGTGACACCCCTGTGTCATATCGAACCGAACCGTGAATTTTGTGAACCGTTGCACCCCTAATATATAGATAGATAGATAGATAGATATAGCTGTGCAATAATAAATTTTACATTTTGCAATTATATAAACAATCATGTAGCTGAGATTTGCTATATAGCATATTGCTTTGCGTGTAATGAATGCAAGTAAAGTTGGATGTACTATATATCCAACAAATTACACGTAGAAAGTGGGCAAAGCAGGTTTCAATTAAGTTTTTACATCAATTTAATTGTACAAGTATATATCAGATATTTTTACACATTAATAATCCATGCACTTCCTTTCTCTCCTTGTTGTGAATGAAACTCTCATGATGAGTTAAATTAACACAGCAAATCGGTCAGCAGTCGTCTTGTTCAGACTGAAAACACTGGAAAAAAAATATTAGTTTGAAATGACAGATTTGTTCAGGAACAAAAAAGACAATATATTGAAGCAAATTTTGAAACGAAAGCCATTTTAGAGGTGAAGAAGCTATGTTTTAGTAAAAGAATATGAAGACATTTTTTCTTCGGAATAATGTGCAGTGATGAACCGTACACAATAAGACAGAAACGTACTATTAAAATGTTTCTGTTGAAGGTAGGAAACAGACGCTTAGCCCCTTGTGCGCTTTTAAACATTTCTGCAGTCTTCACCTCCAGCTTTATCTCACAGTTCACCTCACACCTCTCTCTCCAGCGTCCCCTTCCGCTCACCCCTTTTCTCACCCTATCCTTCTTGCTCTCGCGCGTTTTCCTCTTCACACTCTATCTGCGTGACCTTCATCTGCTCGCCACTTTCAGCCCGCGCCAAAAACGTAATCACACACTGTCAAGCTGTAAGGAGAGGAGGAGGAGGGCGAATTCTCCCCCTCTTTCTCTCGGCTCCTCTCTTCTTTAATGCCCTTTGCGGTGGCGAGGAAAGAAGGGGGAAAATTTATGGTTGGTGGGACAGGTGGGGTATGAACAATGGGCAGAAAGGAGTGCAGGGTTATCTGGTGGGGCGCGGGAGAGCGCGCGGCGGGGAAATCGATGTGACCCGTGATACACTGTCATCACAATTCCCACCCCAGCCGTCCTATTTGTCTTGCGTAGGGAGCCCTAGACGGGCCGTGTCAACGTGCGTGGAGAGAGGCCCCGGCCAGATTAGCCAGGGTGAATCATGACCGCTCACACTCTTTCTTATTCAGCCCCAGTTCTATCTGTTATTGCTGCTGCAGTGGGGCTAGAGTTTGCGGCCTGGCACTGTGGGTGGGAGGGGTTGTCTATGGGGATTGTGGGTAAAATATGGATTGTGTGTCTGAAAGTAAGAGATTAACTGCTATACGGAGGTTTGGACATAGCAGCTTTCTGTTTCTTCGGAAATACACTGTGAAGTGCTCACTCGGTCTATCTTCTCCCCGCTGAGTGATATTCACGGTTACGGTTTCTGGGTGTATGGTAAACCCTCGCTTTGATTATAGCCAGTTCATCCTCTGTGAAACAAATTTTGTAGGCTGTATGGAACTCACTTCAAAGGTGAAGTGTTTCATTTCTGGAAAATACTTTATTCTATTTTTTCCAGTTTGTTACGCAGAGACTAAGTGAGCAATTTGTATGTTGAATTTTTTTCTAATTGTGGGACTGTTAAAATTTGCTCTGTGTGTTTGAGTGTCCTGACCAGCCTGACACAGCAACAGCTCAACCAATAGGGTGAGGTTGGGGGTGGAGCTATCTGTTTGTTTGACCAATGGGTGGGGGGGTGTTTGGAAAACATGTTTTTATCTTTTCAGTTCTGCTTGGCGACACGGAAATGGCACAATTTACTTTTAAAAATCTATTAATTTAATTTCAATAGATTTTGCTGTAGTGGTCAACTGATATTTTGATATATAAATGTATATATAGATAGATAAAATGTTTGCATAACAGTATGTAGTGTTAGACAAAGAAATTAAACGGTATATGAAGATGTTTTATAGAGTTTGCCTTTCTACTTGGTCTTATGAGTTCCAGTGCACATAGATTTACCAAATTACTGTAGGTTACAACCTTTTTAGTCATGTTTCTAACAATTTCTTTATTTATGAAAAAAAACCTATTAATAGGATTATAGAATCAAGAGGTAAATCTAAAGCGTCCAAACAATAAATGTTTATTTACATTTTTTTTTAATATCGATTCATTTTAATTTTTATTAATGATGTCAAATTAAATAATTGTAATTGCAGCATGTGTTATATTATATGTCTTTATTTATTTATTTATTTATTTATGGCTATCAATAACATTCTACATTGGCCAACCACTATTTTACGTAGAAAAAAAGAAACTTCTGGTGCTAAATTTAATAATATTAAATTACTTAAAAATATATTAATAAATGATTTAACAGCTTATACAAATGTAAATAGTCACATGCATTAACATGTTAACTTTCTAGAAATACTGGCATGACTATTGACAACATATGTTCTGTTCTGTGTTTTCTCAGATGAGGCTCAGTTAGCTTTGCCCATACAGAAACCAGGGTTCGAGAAGCTTCCTCTGGGCACTCAGACTCTTCCTCCAGGCTTCCCCGCTCCCTTCCTGTTTGCAGATGGCCTCTCTTCCGTGGAGACATTGCTCACTAACATCCAGGTACATGCAGTGTGTGTTTTATGTATATTTGTTAGAAATAGTTCAATAAAAAATTAGGGGCTGTCAATAGATTAAAAATTTTCATTAATTAATCACACCCTTTTTCTGTGATTAATCGCACACTTCATGAAATTAAGCATAGACCATTTATCTTGTTTCAAATGTTTATTTTGTCATCATTTGCTATATTCAGCGAAGTAAATTTATCTTTCAAGATAAATGTAGGTCTTTCCAAAAAAGGACTCCAAAAGGAAACTCCAAAAGGACACCAAGGAACCAAATGAAATGAGCCCATATAAGCACATATGAAAGGGAAAAAATGCAAAAAAAGAAAAAAATCTGAATTGTATAGTGTGTACAGTGCAACAGCAAATAGCTTTTTTACATTTTAGAGAAGTCAAGTTGCGATACCGAACAGGACCACATGGTGATGCCAAAAAAAACCTAAACTAACTGACAGCTGACTGCATATATCTACTACAGTACACAGATCCATTCAGAATAACTAAACAGCAACACTCACATGACAAATCAAAACATTATCGTGAATGTGTGTGGAAACAACGTTTGATTGCAGTCTTCATCCATCAGAACTTTACTAGCGATACTGGTTATCCATACAGCGGTGGGATGTGTTGACATTCCATTCAGTCTGTACATCCAACAAGGTCTCGCGCTATTCAGAGACAACCGTGCTCTTCAGAGCTCGTGTTTAAAAGCGAAACACACTGGAATGAATAATTCACTGAAAACGCAACGCGAGTCTCTGTTCTCTCTGCAATCTCTGATGTAAGTCAGTGTATTTATACGCATGTTAGAAACCCATACTACCCATGCTATGTAATTGATTAACTTCAATTCATTGTATGATTCAAGTCGTTTCAAGAACTGTATGTTCTTCAATAAAAACAATAGCTTAAAAAAATATTAAATATAATTTCAGTCCATACCCTTTTTTAAAGCATTTTAATGAAGTTAGATTGTTTTAATATATTCATTCCGATATAAATATTAATTATAGTAATAGTAATAATAGTAATAAATAATATATAATCATAATATTAGTTTACGTAATTTTAAGTAGAGGTTTGCTTAGGACCCCTAGTGGACCCTGGCCTCCTGGTTAAGAAGCAGTACTTTAAAGTATATGCATGTTGCATACAGTAACTGTGGATGTTTATTTGTGTATTAAAATCGAGTGTGTCTTGTGTTGTGTTGGCGGCTCAGGGTCTGCTGAAGGTGGCCGTGGATAATGCCCGCGTGCAGGACAAACAAGTGCAACAGGAACGCAAGGAGTTAAAGATGGAGCTGTACAGAGAAAGAGAGATGAGAGAGAGTCTGGAGAGACAACTCACCTCTGAACTGCACAGCCGAGGTATGTACACACGATTAAACCTAAAGGACGTTACGGTGGATCAGAATTGAACTTGCTTTTATAATAGTCATATTTTAGGTTCACAGTTGATGTGTGTGTGGTGATTTATTAATACCTTTAGAAATAGTGTGTTACCTTTTTAAATGATTTTAAATTAAGCCTTATCCAGTAATCACAAATTACTGGAAAAGTGATGGAAATTCTTTGGTCATAATGTGTATGAACCCTTCCAGTCCTCATTTATTATATTTTTTAGTAAACACATTAACGCATGACGAACACTCAGAAAAACCTCAGAGTGTGCGCCGCCAATTCCCTCCCTACATCGCAACCAAACCGTGTCACTAGTGGATTTACTGCCAATTCAACTCCTGCCGTTTGCGCCAAGAAATTAAGCCAATTATTCAGCTGGATAACAACTCTAACAATATGTACAAACACCTCAATAATTTATTAGCCATGGCTGTTACAGCATTTCATGTTCTTTTATTGCGCACTGTTATATGGTGGATGATTTGGCCAATCAAAGGCAAGTAATTAGAGGTGTGAGGAGGAAGGGACATACATTTAACACTGCAAGCGAGCGAACACGCCGGGAGCTTGTTTTAAGGTCTTCTGCCAGACTCCCGAGTGTTTCAAAAGGCCGTTAATTGCTGTGAATCCACATATACACAGAGTTGATTATGTTTGCACATATTCAGAGAAAACATTGTGCTGTGTGAACACGATGTGTTGGCGTTAGGTGTGTACAGCTGTTGTGTTGGCCCATAAATGCACATTGTTAGGTTGAATTTATTATTTTATTAGTAGTGCTATAACGATTGTTTATTCTTACAGTCTCTGAACCCTGAATACGAGTAATAGTAGTAGCGATGCCCTAGCAAACACCACTAACTAGGCCACATTTCCGTAAAGTTTATTAATCCGAGCGTCTAAAAAACCTAGCAATTTTACATATCCTTTTTGAAAGCTGTTGCACGTAGCGCACCATATGTTTTTGTTTTGCTAGTGCTAATGAGCACTTTCAAGTCTCTAATGTGTGAACGTGAGACTGCGCTGGCGTCTCCTTGTGTTTTCAGACACCATGCTGAAGGAGAGAAGTGTTTTACGTTTGAATGTTTGTTCAAACGTCTTTCTTCTCGCCCTCAGCCACTATTCAGAAGCGTCTGAAGAAGGAAAAGAAGTCGAAGAGGAAACTGCAGGAGGCTCTGGAGTTTGAGTCCAAGAGGAGAGAGCAGGTGGAACAGGCGCTCAAACAGGCCACATCTCCTGAGAGTCTCCGCATGAGTCTCAACGGTGGGGCTCTGCTCGGACACACACAGCACTGGGCCTGTCCCAATACCCACACTTTTCATTTGACCACTTGTCTACTCACAAGACACATTTCCTGTATTTGGCCCAAGTGTTCAAGTGTGCGCAGAACTTTTGATCACCAGATGGGACACACATCATAGTGTTAAGTCCTACTAAAGTTTACTTACACATTTTGATTTTCAATACTTTGCACTTACAATAAAGCAAATGTGGTGCTTCTAATTAAAAGATAAAAAGCAGTTGCTAACATTTTACAAAATACACATACACCTCTCTGCACCAATAAAATGTGCCTTAAATTTTAGCGTTTCGAGTTCTTAATATGATGAATGATGAGATACACAGAGCTGCAAATACCACTTTGATGCAAACTTAGAGATTTTAGTGTGTGTTAAAGACACTGAGCTTTGGCATTTATGAGACCAGGAACAGTCTTATGCACCTACAAGTGGCCAAGACCGCAAGTGTGGTATTGGGACAAGCCAACCAAGCAGATGTGATGCAATAAGCAATAAATGACAAGCCCACAATGAAATCTCATTGGTCCAAAATTATGAGATCGCCAGTAGCGTTTCCATTTGAGCTCGGTACAGTTGTCAGCCTGAAATTCTCAGCACGGATAGCTAACAGAAATGGTGTAGTGACATCGCCACTCAGGATTGGTCCATTGCCTGTTGTCTGGCTACTAGTTCATCTCTGTAGCTGGCCAAGCGCACTACTTGAGCGAAGTAAACAGAAATATTTGATCATCTTCCATAACACAGTCGCTATTCATGTCTGATACTGTATGTAAGCACTTGCATTACCATAGCAACAATTGATGCATTTGTATTACAAGCTCCGTTATCAGCTCCACAGTGAAAAACAAAACCATACTCATGCCGACTGAACTGGATTGGCACAGAACAGAATGGTTTAGCAACGAGAAACGTTTGGCCCAATGGTGGAAAAGCAGCTTATGATATTTGATTCCATAGAAGCTAAAACCACTTGCGTAATTGTTGAACTCCAGCAGAAATATCCATACTACACATAACCTTGAAGAGAGGCTCCACCAATCAGAGAAGTCACTGGAAATGAGCACCATGCTTAGCAGTGACATCCACTCCCATGATGCATTTCCAATTTCAATTAAATTTCCCCACACTTACGTGTGATATGTGATTTATACAAAAATACAAAATTGAGATTAAATGCTTTTGTGCTCCAGGGTCACATATATGCATATTTTGAAGTAAACGTCAAATATATTGTATTTAATTAATGACTTCCATTCAGTGGTTTAATATTGTACAGTTGTTTGTGATTCGAATCAGTTCACAATGCTTTATGGGATGAGAATTTATCCAACAGGAAAGATGGTTTTCCAGCATTCTCTTTTTCAGATGTTCTTATACCAAATTTCTGGCTCAAATCAAAGAGTATTGAGATTCTCTTCACTTTTTGATTTGGTTCAAGGCTTATAATAGTTTCTTTGAGGATAATATGTGTGAAGAAATTAATTGGAAAATACATCAAGAATACGGAAAATGTGGGCAGTGGATTTTACGCTTTCCCAGCCAAATATAACATGTATTATATTTAAGATTGTGTTGCATTGTGGTGCATTTTTACTTTCATTGACGTAACATTGGAAACTGGTCACATTGCGCATCGTTTGGACATGTACATACACAGTTTCTCTTTACAGTCTATCCTGTGATACTCTCTCACAGTATCTTTAAAGATCTGCTTGTTCAGAACTTCCCTCAGTTTGTCCATTAGAATTTCGTTCAACCTTCTGTTCATTCTCATATTTTTTTAGTCGGTGCTGATATTGGTATTTCCATCTAGGTCATAACTATTAGCAGTGCATTAGCATCATAATCTCAGCTGAGGAAATGGAGTCTGATGTTTATCATAAACGCTCTAAATACACACACTTATCAAGGCCAAACCATTTTCCTAATCGCTTGCTGTTGTTTTGATTACACTTGTTTAATTGTGAATATCTTAACAGAAGCAGAATTTGAAGGGGGGGGGACAGGTACATTTGCAAGACATCTGCAAGTATTTTCATGAGTGCTGGAGCAATTATTAGGCCAAGCCTGATTAGACGCGAATTCATTATGAGAAATGCACTTTGTTTTTGCCTTTCATCTGAGGGGAATGCTAGAAAAAGATCCATATTGTGAAGGTCTGCTGTTACGTCACATCTCTCCTCAGATAAAGCTACTTCCTTTTGTTTATCTGTGCAACACAGCCTTTGTTGTGGAGATTTTCCAAGTGCAGTTCAACTCAAGTGAGCTAGGCAGACAACATGAATAAAATAAAAAAAACTAATAAAAAAAACCCTTTTTTTAATGTGTAATAATACTAACTACTGTTCAAAAGTTTGGGTCAGCAAGGCTGCATTTATTTGATTAAATATAACATAAAAACAGTAATATTGTACTGTAATATTAAGTTTATTACAATTTAAAATAACTGCTTTCTATGTTAACTCGTTTTAAAATGTAATTTATTCCTGTAATGCAAATCATTTTCAGCATCATTACTCCAGTCTTCAGTGGAGAAATCATTCTAATATAATATAATCATTCTGCTCAAGACATTGGTCAAAATATTTCTGATTATCATCAATATTGAAAACAATTGTGCCACTTAATATTTTTGTTTTTAATATGCACTTAATATGTTTATTTTTTAGGATGCTTTAATGAATAGGAAGTTCAAAATAACAACATTTATTTGAAATAGTAAAGAGTTTAATGCAAAAAGTTTAAATGCTGAATAAAATAATTATTTCTTAAAAAAAAACAACAACAAAAAACACTTACTGCCCCCAAAGTTTTGAATGTGTCATTTTAATGAAACTTTCTCCACCTCTTTTTGTTTTTAATTTCCCTTGAGAGGATCCCAGAAAACCCTCAGTGAGGTCGATGTAGTTCAGGTTGTAAAATGTGACAATATTATTAAAAATGTGTAAATATATTTATTTGAGACAGAGGTACCAATGGCATGCTTTACTGATAATGTACCGAGAGGTCTAATTGTGTGACATATTTGATTGTAGAGGCAGTGATACCAGAGGTGAAGTCTGAACATAATGGCAGCCAGCAGGAGAACTCAGCTGTACAAGGTAATAATTTACTGTATGTAAACTACATGTGTAACTACAAAACTCGAAATAAAGACCTGACATCATACGTATGGTCAATAGTCTGTATTTGAATGAAAGGTAAAAATGGCTGCAGTTGAGAAGATGCAACCAGCCATGTGCTGTACATATGGTCCAGAGGCCCCCCTCTCTCCTGGGGCCAAACCCCAGCAAAACTACCAGAGTAAATCCCTGTACTTGCCTTGCATCTCATTGGGTCCCTTTGAAGATGTCCAACTCTTTCGGGAGCGAGATTACAAACTGATGTTTTCATGTGCCTTTCACGCCTCCGTTCCCCGAGATCTATTTGCGCTTTACAGCTCTTCTGCACACACTCATACAGTTTCATTCTCATCCCTGTTCCATCTGTCTTTCCCCCTTCCCTCCAAGCTAGCCTCCCAAATCTGGCCAAAAGTTGTGTTTGATAAATGGGACCTATTATCAACACGTCTGACGGCGAATTAAAGACCCACTGCCGTACATCACATTGAAATGTGGGGCTGGGGGAAGGTGAATAAATACATATGTTTACAGAAGATGCAGTGGAAATGGGCGGCAAAGTGCTCCGCTGAAAATGAGCGGAATGTTTTTTTTCCACTATATAGCCAATTTCACAGTCTGGAAATAAAGAGACGTCTATTTTTCTTCCGGCTTTGACAGCTGCGCTGTAACGGAGCACTGCTGAAGCGTTTGCAGAGTAGATATCGCCAGTTTTTTTTTCTTCTTTGGGGCGGCACCAAGGTTCATTCGCAGTGTAAAGGGGTCATCGGCAGGTTTCTCGGGTTGAATCAGACATAACTTCACCCTAAATCTGTTGCACATCTCATGTTTCAAAGTCTGTAACTTTCAACTCCAGGTCAGATCTGCAAAACCTGTAGATCAAAGACACGCAGCCTTAGACCAGACTGAGAAACACAATTGTTATTTTGTAGGCCGACATCTGGAGACAGAATAGAGCATGCTGTTGTCAAATCTTGTGAGACATCAAGTAACTCACGACTTTTGAGTTGGTTTTCAAGTATATGTGGGGCGGAGCTATCAAAATAGGGGCAAGACCCTTTTGGGGTAGGGGCGTGTTTGTTTTGGTGATTTCAAATATCAACATTGGCTACCAGAAATCACTTACTCTGCCTTTAAGTGATGATCATATACGATCACATTTGCTTATTGAAAAAAAGTAACAATCCCGAAACAAATCTGAAAAGTTGGGTTGCGACCCACTAGTTGAGAAGCACTTATCTTGAAATCGTACAGGATTTCATTCAGGCCTAAAAATTGACTAGGGAGCCATTGGCTCCTAAAATAAAAAATTTTAGGACCCAATAGCTTTTTTAGTTATCACAAATTATAGAATTGGTTGATCAGAAGCATTTTAGTTCCCATGCTGTCACTAGTAATCCTGATCTGTGTCATATAAAGGTCACTTTGTTTTGTAAGAATATTTCTGGCTGTTTGGAGGGGGAAAAAATTGTGTTGATGGTTCTAACATGTTATCCATATTACTCCCAAAGTTTCCCTTGCAATGGATTCAACATTATGGAGGCCCTAAAGAGACATGGAGATGGAAATAAAGATGAGATGGGAGGAAAAATTATATTTCCATGCTTTGTGTTCACTCACAAATTTTAGAGTTCCCCAAGAAGCCTCACGTTTGTTTCTCAAGGGAACACAAAACATTTGCAAAAAAAATTTTTATCGGGGAATGCAAAAAAATTCCCCATGAATGTAAAGTTTTGCTGGAGTACGCAAACGTATTGAAATATATATTTTTTCTCCATCATGTACCTTTAGGGGCTCTGTGCAAGATTACAGTCAGACCTCACTATGCTTAACAATGATTGTGATTTTTTTTATTTTTATGAATAGCATTTATTACAATGAAGTTTTATGTATCTTTAAATGACAAATAACAGTTCCCAGTTAATTCTGAAAAACTTAAAAATTTCATTTGCGACCATTTTAGTGGCACTCTGGAGGCCTGTGGAATGTAGTCAGTGACTTGAGATGAGGCGTCACTAATGTGAGCATAACAGCAGGGGATTAGTTTTCGAGCTCCGTCACAATGCCCCTGACCTTTAGAGCAACGAGCAGAACCAGGAAACGTGAAGATCAGACCTTTCCCCTATAACGCAGAGGCTAATATGAGGTGCAAACTAGTCTCTCTGCTACGGGACTGCATTCGCTCTGACACAGTACTTTGACTGCGCCCTACAATGGAAAAAACAGCTTTGCATTACATTTTAATACCTCACTAAAGGGGAAAAACAAGTTCAATACAGTTACAGTTGATAATTCAGTTTAGGGCTTCTCTCCCAAGTCGGACTTCACAGTTTTGCAAGCTTAGCAGTGACAGCTGATTTCATTAGGTTTGATTGTCCTTGCCGAGATCCCACTCGTCGGGCTAAAAGCTTTTTGCGCTTTCTCAGGTTCCACCCCTGTGTTGGGCCATTACGATGACCCGTGCCTTTTCTGATTAATCAAGACAAGTGGCGCTAACAGAAAACTGCTGAACACAAAAGAAGGTGACATCATTTTACAAGCCGATTAAGAGAAGCGTGGAGTGGTGGGAGAGAGAGAGAGAGGCGAGGTGAAAATGTAATTAAGATCCGAGATTAAGAGCAAACCGAACTCAAAACGTTGCAGTCACACTCATTCCGGAGAATTCCGCACACGTTCCAACAATCAACGCTGAAAATGTACAGATACCGTATGGAATTCCGTATACTTCAGCACACCATTCAAATCTAGAAGTTTTCAACCTATTAATTGGTATCATGCTGTGATATAACGAGGATGAATAATCAAGGAAGAGGAAGTGGTGTTTGCGTTTCGGGAATAAATGAGTCCGGGGTTATATGGAGGGGAGCCGTGTGTTGTGGAGAAGGTCCCAGAGGAGGACCACCCTCACATCCCCATCCATCTATTTACAGTATCCTACATGTGGGGCAAAAGAGCCAAAGATTCATAGGGTTGACCTCATCGCTGGCAACAGTTATTTACTGAAATACCAATGTAAGGAGGAGAGTGTGATGTATAAATGGTTGCCTTTGAATATAACTTGGATGCTTTCTGATAGGGCTACAAATTGATCAAATTGATGAATAAAATGTGAATATGAAAATGAAAATTGCCAATAGCAAATATTATTTTATTGATAGTCTCCTTGTATACAATATTTAATATACATTAATGTGCATTTATTTATTCATTCATTTACATGAAATTCTGTGATTTTACTTTTTGTTGAATTTTACAGCACATTGGAGAGAATTCAATTTTGTATTTTATCGTTAATTGAATGAATAATTAAAAAAATACATGAAATAATTGTTGCAAATTTAATTTTAAAATTGCTCTGTGTGTGACCAGATTTATGTTATGTCAAAATATTTTTACAATTAATATAAGGTTATAAAATATAAAAGAATGAGCAAAATGTTGCTAATTTAATTTTAAACTTGCCCTGTGTTATTTATTATGAGGTTATAAAATCCAAAATAATTTTTTTTAAATTTGTTTAGTTAGAGTATGTGACATGGTCAAAACACTGATATTCACAAAAGAGAAATTAATCTTGATGCATTGAATACTGGTATTTTGGCCCACCTCCTGCTTAACAAAACAGATAGTGTCCTGCTCTGTCAGGTCTCTGTATTAAGTGTATGAACTATTTGCTCCGGTGTCTCCTGGGTGCAGCTTCATCATGGCAGATATAGTCTGCTGTCAGCCATAGGACTCAATTAATTGCACTTCAAGATATTACTCATAACTCATATTTCAGAGCAAGTGAAATACCCGCCCTCTATTTATCTCCTCTAGCATCTCTCCCTCCTTTCAGCACCAGCAGGCCTCAGTGTGGCATTCATACATTTCAAATGGTTCATGTATAGTATGAATGTCACATGTAGTGTTTAATATGGCACATTTAATCATGTTCTGTGTATGTTTACAAACAAAAAAAGGGTTGAATGAGAAAGCATTTCAGTTCACAGACAGTTTATCAGAAAATGAGGCACTTTCCACAAAGAGAGGCCTGAAATTCTTGAGTCAAACACTTCTGAAGGTTAAGTAGTTTTTTTTTTTTTCATGGATCATTTGCTGAAAAGCTCTGGAAGTTAAAATATTAGCTGTTTTAGGTTGCAACCATTTTGACAAAATTTTGAATTTTTCTAATTGGGGTAAGATCATGCACTAACAAAATGTGAGAAAGAGCATTTTTTATTTTAATTTCTGTCAGGACCACTATCGTCAAAATGATAGATACTTAGCATAAAGTTTGGTTTGGCGGTATGGTTCTGTTCTGGGCAAAAACCTCCCTGCCCATCCATGCAGCCTGTCATGAATGAGCAGGGAGAGCAGCAATAATAACCCCCCTAGGGTTAACAGAACAGAACAAGGCAGATATCATTAATGTACTTAATGATATTTAAGTGTAACACTTTATTCACGATAAAGGAGTCTGATTAGCAAGGAATATCAGAAAGCCAAGTCCTGACTGTGGCGAAAGGAGGAGCTGGGGATGGAGGAGGGTAATTTGCTCCTGAGCAAGCTGAAAAGCTGCTGAATAATACTGAATAGAGCTTATATAGGAATGCCGCGATAGGTGTCGTATTCCTATAGGTAGATGTGATCATTTCTGGGCAATTAAATGTAGCTATTAATTATTATAATTTGATCATTTTTTAACATATTAATAAAATACAATAATTCAAATGTAATTTTACACCAATAAATATATACCAATTCAAGAAATTATATCAAAATACAGTCAAGGATGGCCAATTAGTGAAAAGCATCACCAATCAACATGACTTTTTTACATTACCCCTGGGCGTCTAGAATGTAATTTTTCCATGTCCGCTTTCAAAGCAAACAGATTTGGGGTGACCTATAGATTATGCGCAGGGACATAAACACACTCAGTTTAATGTCCAGCTCTCCTCACTTACGCTCTCTCCGTAGCATGTACCTTGAGTGCCGTTTTATTTACATCCTGCATACATATTAGCTCATCTGTTGGTGCTTGCAGAAACGAGCATGTTGAACATGTAAAAGCACTCGAGTCCTAATGAACTGCTTCCTGTGTGACGGTGCGCTGCGAGCTCTCCGATTAACATGCATCTGCAGCACTCCTGCCCCTCAACCACCAGCT